ACCTAGGAAGTACTAGGGAAGGGGAGGGATAGATTGGGAGTGTTGAGAGAGAAAGAATGGTGAAGGTGTGAAGAAATGAGGTGATTTACGCCTCTATTTAGAGGCTGTCTGGGGCCGATTCACGTCGTGAAACTTAAATGCACGCCGTGGACTTGCGTGGGCACCAAGGCTTCGCCTGGTGCTGACAAGTGGCGCTGGACGCAGATAAAACAATCAATCTTAAAAAATTCATAACTTTCGCATATGAGCTCCGTTTTCGACGTTCTTTATATCCACGCATAGCAATTGAAAAGATCTACAACTCTCCTTTTGACTCCATCGGCTAATTCTCGACCAATTTTAAATTTAACAGTATGAGAAGATTACACTATTTAACGACCGTGTAAAATTCATAACTTCTACATACGGACTCCGTTTTCGACTGTATTTTTATCGTTTAGCTCCTATTAATGAGATCTTCAATTCTCATTTAGATCATTTTGGATAAAATTTGACCGATCTAAAATTCGACTTCCGGGCTGTGCACTGTTATGCTAAATCTTAGAAAAATCATAACTTCCTTGTACGAAGTCAGATTTGGATGTTCTTTTGATGCACGATCTCGGTTTAATGTATACTACGACTTTCATTTAGATCACTAAGGCTAAAAAGTAATTTATCAAAAATTCACTTTTTACGTTACGCAGTGCCGTGTCGGTTAGCCGTAAAACTTCGACAGGTCATAACTTCTTCGTTATAACTCATATTTCGCCGTTCTTTATATCTCTGGAATCCTTGTCACGACCACTACAACTTTCTTCATAGATATTGGGTCTATCTGTTATTTTATTTTTGACGCTTATTTTTATTATTATTTTATTACATCGTTACAAATAAGTATAATGCACACAAAATCACATAAATCACATAATACTCAAGTAATTCCTCTTTATTACTTAAAAATAGGTTACAATTGTTGACCCTAACTATTACAACATTATAATAATGCTTAGCTTAGAAACACGGGCGTTACATCTGTCCCTAAAGCGTCTAATTCAAAGGACCTAGCCTAAGGATCATCATCGGGAAGACAATACTGCTTAGGGGATTCCTCAGCAATATATATGTCAGTAAGGAAACCATGAGGGGGATAGAGTACACTGGTGAACACATCGCTCACAAACACCTACAGGTTGCAAGCCTGCTAGCGTTCCACTAGATTGTCTAGAATAGTTTGTGGTCGTCATCTATACTCCGCTAGATGACTAAATCAGCCTAAATATCGAGGCCTATCATCATTTATTTCATCATCTATATCATCTACCCATCATTTCCCATCATAATTATAGGTATAAAATACATATACAGTTTAAATCGAATAAAACATGTATATTTTGTTCATCCAGCATAAATATCAAAAACACAGATAATATGCACACATAGCACGTAATTTATATTAAATACTTCATATATATGTGTAAGATGAAAGTAACTATGCACTCACTTGTTAAAGTGACGACTCGCAATTCGGGCAGCACTTCGCTTCTAACAATTTTATTTTCCTTCGACGAAACCTAGTATCATTATTACTAGATTTTAGTCTAATATTTATTGTGACTAGTTATTAGTCTAGATTCATCATTAACTCAAAGTCTACGTCATGATCTATCAAGTAAGGATCAGTCAGGCAGGATAGTTGGGAGGTAGGACCATTTCGGCATATAGCTTTTCTGAAATCCAACAACCAAGCCCAACGTGACCATTCTAGACACCACTCCCGTAAGTAGTTCAATCAGTATAACGAATTTGAATCACCGAAAAATCTTGTTTATAGGTTCATAATAACGATAATGAACTTAAACATAAGTTATAATTAAATTAGGGTAAGCATAACTCACTTACAATGGGGGTTTAGCTAGGATTCGGGGTCTGCAGGGGCAGAACTTCTGAGCCGAAAGCTCTTCTTCTCGGAGCATTCTGGTGCTCCGGGCTTCGCCTCTAACACTTGGGAAGTGCTAGGGAATAGGAGGGGCTAAGGAGGGTATTTGAGAGAGAACGAATGGTTTTGGTGTGAGGAAATGAGGTGATTTACGCCTCTATTTATGGGTTAAGGGATTGTATTACGCGGGGTGTAACTTAGGAGAACGTGGGGCGTACCCGGTACATTGGGCATACCAAGCCCTACGTTGGGCGTACGCGGGCCACGTGTCAAGATCCGGTGACAAGGCGTGGGGAGGAAGCAATGGTCAGTATTGTGTCACGTGTCAGCCTCGCATCTTATCCCATAATTTAATTAACTTCTAAATTTCGTAACTTTTGCATACGAGCTCCATTTTTTATGTTCTTTATATCCACACGTAGGTAGCGATGTGATCTACACCTTTCGTTTAGACTTTGTCGGCTAATTTTGACTTTATTTTTAAAGTTATATTTTAACAGGCTGACAGATAAAGTTCGTTAAAAATTCATAACTTTGTCATCCGACGTCTGTTTTCGTCTGTCTTTATATCATTGAGCTCCTATTAAAGAGATCTTCGATTCTCGTTTAGATTGTGTCGGCTAAAACCGATCGATAAAAAATTCGATTTGCGGGCTGCATACTGCTATGCCAAATGCCCAAATCTTAGAAAAATCATAATTTCCACTAACGAAGTCAGATTTGGACGTTCTCTATATACACGCTCTCAGTTTAACGTATACTATGACTTTCTTTTAGATCGCTAAAGCTAAAATGTATTTTATTGCAAACTCACTTTTTACGACACACAGCGTCGTGCCGGTTTTGTCGCAAAACTTCAACGGGTCATAACTTTTTCGTTATAAATCGGATTTCAGCGTTCTTTATATCTCTGGAATCCTTGTTACGACTACTTCAACTTTCTCTAGAGATATTGGGTCAAATCTTCATTCTATTTTTGACGCATATTTTTATTATTATTTATTATATCGTTATAAGCACGTATAAATCACATAATACTCAAATAATTCATCTTGATTACTTCAAAATAGGTTACAATTGTTGACCCTAATTATTACATCATTATAATAATGCTTAGCCTAGAAACGCGGGCGTTACACAAATGGACTTCACGATGATCATCAAACGCCCCATACGTTGTATTAATCTCATCAGCGCCAGCATGAAGTTAACTTGTGCATGACGTATCAGATCAGCAATCTTAGTGATTAAGATCTTATTTATGTATGGTTTTGTTTAAATCCCTAATATGTAGGGGTTTCCTTATATTAGTTTTTTTATCCTAGTATATAAGTTATGTTAGGGTTCATTGTAAAAAAAATGGCTTTGTGCATTCTCTCTTTGTGAGAGTTTTATTGAAAACCTTAATCGAAATAAGTTTTCGATTAAGACTTTGTGAAGTCTTTTCTTGTGTTATTACTTGTTGTTCATCTTTAAGATCTAACATAAGTATTGGAATAACCAACACTTATAGATCACTTCATGGAATCTATTACGAGCGATTCTAAGATGATAATATCCTATATTCTTCAAAATGAGATGCATGAGACTTTAATTATGTAGTTTGTTATGCATTGGTTTTCTCCAACATTGTTCGTAACTGGCATCCATAATAGAATGTCCATGTATGACATGATGTGTAGACTGAGTGTATTTAGTCAAAGTTTATTTGTTCCTTTTGTCTTAATAGAAGAAGTGATATCCCTTGGCCCATTGATGATTTGGTGTTGACATCAAATGTATGGTCGTGATGAGACTGAATTGATAATGGATCAATAGTACAGTTTGTTTTGGTCGATGCAAGTCTATCAAGAAACATAATCTTGAGCGTTAGAGATTGATATCTTTGCATGTCTCACGTTAATATGGATATCAAAGAACTAAGGAATATTTGATCAGTTATCTAAGGGCTATATCACAACTTGGAGTTGTGAGTTCGACAATGTTCATTGGATGGAACAATACTCCTTGTTATGGTAGGTAATATTATAGCATATTGTTGTTATGACTTGTGCAAGTAGGAGACTGTTAGAAATAGTGCACATAATCACAAGTTGGTAATATTACTTTTTTCGGTAAGGTCCTTTTGGTTACATACAAGAAAGGTTTAAGCAATATTTGACAAGAGATAAATAATGAGGATTTAGTTTGTTAATTTATTAGTCATTAATAAATTAATAGAAACTTGTAAATCCTTAAGGGTTTAAAGTGAAGAACAGGTGCTTAGTGACCAAACAATTATTTTAAGGAAACTCTGATCCCACCCCTATAAATAGAGGTGTATAATTGGCCTTTGGGGTTGCTAGAAGCAACCCAAAATTCGTCAACGCTCTTTTCTTCTCTCATCTCTCGGATCGGCTCGTCGACACAACGTGTCTCCTTTGATGACGCAACGCGTTCAGTTGCAAAAAACCTAAACTTTTAGGGTTTGTGTTCAGAGTGTTCACATGCAATGGGATGTCAATGATGGTTGTTGATGTTCTTCTTGGGTGCGACTACGAAAGAGGAGTTCTAGTTTGAACTCTCTCCATCAAGCATAAGAAGATTTCAAATGTATGTTTAGTTGCAAGCTATTTATGGATCTGTGATCCTAGTGGTTGGAATTTAGTTATCGATCCATTGCTTTTGTTGTTCGTTTATCTTTGTTTTTTGGACCCCAAATCCCCTCGGTGTACACCCTAGCCACCTAGGTGATGGAGATGGTGGGTTGATGCCATAGGCTCGCAACAAGCTTCTTTAGGTTTAGGGTTTGTCATTGTCGTGCCTTACTATAATGTTAGGATACACGACACCATGAGTGAAGCCATGCTATCAACGAGTAGATGTGAAACAAGCAATCGTGAGACCTAGTAGAAACTTATTAGATCAACTTTGGAATAATCCTAATGATTATCAATTTGATGGGAATGTCAATGAAAATCCATATTACAATCTTTAGAATTTCTCGACTATATGTCACACATTCAGCAGCAGATGAAAGTAGGTTACCCTAATAGGTAACCATCAAAATTTGAGTTACGTAAAGAATGATGCAACTGAATTTGCCCAATTCACTTGGCATTTTGCATAGACCCTTCAACTTTAAGATACAACAAATCCATGCAACAGGAACTATGTTTCTTTAACTGGATTCATGTTCTTATTGTTTTGTAGGTATCTATATGTTCTCATTATATTATATAAGAAGATTTACAGTCGCTTTTTCCTCCCAATCAAAAATCCAAAATCAAACTATTGCCAAGTATTATTATTATTATACTGTTGGCCACGATTCCCTCCCATTGCACCACCACGTCCACCGCCTCCCTGAGAATAATTCGGTGGGCCGACCCCATAGCCGCTAGTCCCACCACCACCACCACCACCCCGACCATAACCTTGAGGAGGAGGAGGGTACGGGCCACCGCCGCCACGGTTAGGGTGGTGGTTGTATCCGGCGGAAGGGTTGCCGCCACCCTGCGGGTACCTGCTTGATCCGGCAGAAGGACCACCACGAGGCTTCCCGTAATGGTGGCCAGGACCGCCTCCTCCTGCCGCCACGAGCTGAGGCTGACCACCACCATGCATGGGTGGTACAGCTGGCGGTCCTGGCCTCATCTGCTGCTGCATTGGTGGCGGCAATCGTGAATGCTGCTGCTGTTGTTGGTGTTGGATTTTTTGACGCTTTGCTGCTTCGTCTTGTTGTCTTTGTTGCTGTCGCTTTTTCTTGGTTTGAAACTCATGTGAAGATTCATATTTTGGTAAACTAAACAAAAATTCAAAATTCAAAAAATAAATGCCAGGTGTCAGTCATAGTTACTCATAATATGAGAAAAAATTAAAGGTGAAGATACGTACCTCTTTGGATCACAAGGTAATGGATCGATCCAGAAATACTCTGCATCAAGTGCATCCTTGGCTGATATTCTCTTTATAACAAACAGACATGATATAAAATTATAATCCAAAATCCAAATGCTTATAATATTTTATTTGTGAAAACTTTCTACCTGAGAAGGATCAAGAGTTAGCATTTTCTCAAGCAACTCCAAAGCATTTCGGTCAAAGCTATTATAATTAGTGAAAATGGGAAAAGAATATTAAATTTGTTGAATATTAAATTTTTTATATTTTATAAAATATACATACTGTCTGAAGACATCTCGAAGACGCCTTTTTATAGGTCTTGTGGGCTTGAAGTTGTTGTACCAAGGAATTTTAGAAACGCCAGGCCAGTTATTCTCATCGGGGGCCCCACACAGTTCAAAGATTTTACTTAGTTGCTCCGGCTACATATATTTGCAACAAAAATAAATAAATAAATATATTACTATAAATATATTAGATTAAGTGAGAAGAAGACTTGCCTCATCTTTACCAGGGAAAATTGGTTTCCCATGAAGAAGCTCAGCAAAAATACACCCAACTGACCACATATCCACAGCTGGGCCATACTTTGTGGTCCCCAGTAGCAACTCCGGTGGTCTATTAAAATAAATAAATACCATCCTACTTTCATTTCTTTCTACTTTTTTTTTTTTCAAAAACTTGAAAGATTTTGGTGTGTGTGTGTGTGTGATACCTATACCATAAAGTGATGACACGATTTGTAAGATTCCCATTGTGATCATTTGAAAATGAACGGGCAAGCCCAAAATCTGCTAGCTTCAAATTCCCTTCGTTGTCTATTAAAAGGTTAGAACCTGTACAAAAACTATGTAATTTAGTCTATAATATATAATAATTAAATTTCATTTTTTACATCTATATATATATATTATACCTTTGATGTCACGATGAAGTACTTGATTTACATGACAGTAGTGAAGGCCTGTCAAAAGCTGTCTCATATAACACTTTAAGAAATAGCAACAGGAGAGCATGTGAGTATGTAATAATAATAAATACATAAATAAATAAATAAATAAATACCTTGATCTGTGCAACAGAAAACCTCATCCCAGGGCGATCAGCAAGGCCAGTTAGATCATGATCCATGTACTCAAAAACCATGTAAATTCCCCCCTTGTATTTATTACCATCTGCAGACAGATGATATATATATATATATATATATATATATATATATATATATATATATATATATTTAAGCAAATCAATTTCATAATTGAAAAATCTAACACCAAAAATAACTTCTTTTACAAGTGTCATCTTTAAAAGATTATACAAGTGAGTAAATATAGAAAAACACTTGCCTGGTCTCCCTTGGTCATCTTTCTCAGGACCTACAACAGAAACATCAAATGTAATTATAAGAAGAAAGAAAGTAATATTTATTTTTAGTATACATGTAAAAGTAAGGGAGAATGGAAAGATTAGTTAGAAATTGAAGTTACCTGGAGAAGTAACAATCTCTTTAAGCTTTATGACATTCTCATGATGCAGCTTCTTTAGAATTTTGATCTCACGAATGGCAGTTATGGGAAACTGTATTTATATTTATAAAGTAGATTTAGATTTTACAACTACTTGTTTAAGTTTAACAATGCGTATACAGATATAAGTTTTTTCTTACACCCTCCCTCTCATTGTCCATTCGTATCCTCTTCAGAGCAACAATTTCACCTGTTCTGATTTCTCTAGCCATGTATACTTGACTGAAAAAACATCATTACAACACAAAACTCTAAGTTCAGGAATAATGATCACAATCATAATAATCATAACAATAGGGGTTAAATGAATGAAATAGCAACGTACTTTCACTGATTGGTTTATCATAGCATCATACTTTCATTTCATCATATTATAACATTGTAATTTTAAAACTATACCCCCCAATTATACCTTTCATTTCATCATATTCGGCATTAATTCTAGACATCATGCAGTTACAAAAACAGACTTTGTTCATACAACACTTCTTCCAGGCAGACATCATTTATCCATTCAGCACTTAATGGAGTAAAAAAGAGAAACAGACCCTACATCAAATCTACAACAACAACTAATCTTGTATCATCAATATAAACCATGAGGACTTAAACCACTTGCAAATATACCAAAAATCAAAACCTGGAATATTAGTAAGAATTAATGACAACAAACAATCATCACAACCTAGGGTTGAACAAGGTCACAAGGGTTCTGTAGTTTTCCTATTCAAGAAAAGTCTAATAAAAGCAGTAGCTCACCATAATTGATAATACTACTTCTTAACATTCCAAATCTACAAAAAGCACACAACCAAACAGATCAACCCCACACAGAAGCTTGCAAGAACTAAGATTGAAAAATCAGTAGATTGAATAACTTCTCTAAAAGAAGTATTAAGATCATTAGATAAACATTCTGCACAGGAAAAGCATCTATTGAACCTGCTTCAAGCCATGATGACTAATCAATCAATCTTGAGGTAAACTATCTTTATAGATGTAGTAAAGGATTGACAAGATCGAAACCAATAAGATACTGCCACATAGCACATGTCAATTGAGAGATCATGAGCACAGACAAAACAATGCTTACAAGTAGATGCACCTACTGGCATATATCATATATGCTTATCAATTTTTCCCCTCTCAAGCCCCTTTAATGGTAGCATCAGGTTTAATAAAAAAAAAAAAACAAAAAAAAATGTAAAAACGATCACCAAAAGATTGTGCATAACCCAACATTTACTTGTTTCGGATCCAATAGGGCTAGAGGACCTCAATTTTGGATATCAAACATCATACTGAACTAACTAATGCAGGTATTTGGACATTTCACTGCCAATGGTTCAATAACACAAAAAGGTGTTTCATGTACTATACTTTGTTATCTCAACTCTCAAGTAAGAAGTAAATAAACACACAACATATATCTTTCAAGCTCTTATAAGGAAGGAGATTAAACAAGTATGATGATAAGACCAAATGTCCTAATCTGCATAACATTTAAAGACAAAAAATATTGTATGATATGGAGTTGGATTAAGGGCAAACAGCTACTACTTAAACGCTTAGCACCCAAAAATTGTTCCCTTACTAGCCTTTAGAATCTTTCACAGTCTGTAAATTGTGCTTTAGCACCAGATAATCACCCTGAAAGAACAACTGTTGTAACTAAGACATAATCAGGAGGCTTTCACAGAGGAGCTACGGCAGCTTATAAATCTTTTATCATAGCCAATATTCACATTATTCGAATTCGGTTTTCAGAAAGATACTCGATAAGTTTGACTCCAATGAAAAAAGGTTCCTCGAAGATTTTGTCGTTTTAGCATGATAATAGACACTGTTTTACCATGAACTGTTTCACAATGTTGTGCCAAGTGTAAATTTTGGATTCAATTTGGGTACAGCGGCCGAAACACATCCTATTAATATAGTGGCAGGATAAAAAACAACCGGCTTAACTTCTAGGTCAAAAGAACCCCCTGTGTTTTGTTCAGATATTGTCGCCAATAACCAATAACCAATTACAAAATTGAACTTGATAAAGATATGTTAAACTTTGATGATCAAAATCAGTATCGCAAATGATGTAGCGACTGACCCGTAAGTTCCTTCACCGATCTGTTCCAATTTCTCGAAACAGTCAACACTTCGGGATCCCCATGCTGGAGATTCTGTTGTATTCAACTGTCCCGGTGCCGCTAAAGCCATAGCTACTCCGGTAGGTAGCTCCGGCACGCGTCCGACGTTACAGAACTGGAATGGGAGGAAATTTTAGGGTTATCGTGGGACTGAAAGAAAAGGAGCAACTACTTACGTAAAGGATGCTTAAATGCTTAATTACGCTTAACTTGTTTTTGTCGGACCAAATCAGCTATTTCTTCACGAGTTAATCATAAAAATATCAAAATGGGATGGTAGGGGTTTGTTGGGTCATTATCTTCGGGTTTCAGCCGGATCGGATCGAGTTATATTTCGGGTTTTTTTGGTATCGGTTCATGTTGGGTATTGGTTAAATATTCCTTACAATTAATTAACATTTTGTTATAAACTTTAAAATTTGATATTTTTCGTTTGGCAACCAACGTGAACTTTCACACAACGTGTTAATGGATTAATGCGTTTGAGTCGTAATGATCTAAGACCATCTTGAGTCTCAAATATTATTTGTTTTATATTATAGTGTAAAAGATAGTGTAAACACTAAAATCCTTCAACCCATTATATTATATTTAACACTAAAAAAATTCATTACATTATATTTAACACTAAAAAAATTATTGTAGGTATATTGTTTTTTATTCAACACTATATTTAGTGTTACACTAAAATCCAACATTATATATAGTGTTACACTAAAATTCAACACTATATATAGTGTTAGGTATAGTGTAAGGTTGTAGCATTATAATGTAATTTATAGTGTAAAAATGATTTTTTTTTAATATAAGGTTAGAGATGCCCTATTTTTAGTTGATCATCTTGTTTATTAGGGTATCTTGTTTACCGAGGTGTAATAAATGATTATTTTATGTTATGGTGGAATCGATATAGACTATGTTGCCATGGTTTTTGGTAGTATTTCACCCCTCGGGTAAAACCCTATGCCTACTTAGACCATGTCCATGTAGGTAGGTATCTTTGCAATGTGTATCTATCCTTTTTATAGATACAAAAAAATTGTGATTTTCTAACAAATTAAAGTACGTTTAAGACATGTCATACAATTACTCTAGAATCGGGATGGCAATAACTTATGTTACAATATTAAGCTCAAGGAGTTGCATGTTTGAATGTTGCTGGAAACGATTGCTTTTAAATGAGTGTTTTTTATGAAAAACATGGGATATTTTTAGACAGTAGAATAATATAATGTATGCTTGTTTCGTTAAAAACATAAATAAATAAATAAATATATCATATGCTTGTTTACCTGAAGTTGTTTTTTTTTCTTGTTGCATCCAGGAATGTAAGACATGTGGGACATGATTTCATCCAAAAAGATTGTTTGGATGAAATTTGGATGAAACTATACCATTTGATTCCTTAAGAGGTACCTCTGAACGTTGTAGTATCCTCCGAAAGATTGCAAAACTCATACTTAAGGGGAAAATTGAAAGATATTGATGAATAACAACAATAACAATATATATATATATATATATATATATATATATATATATATATATATATATAGAGAGAGAGAAAGATTACAAAGACAAGGAACATGCATAATGAAGAAGAAAAATGTGTGTGTGTGTGTGTGTGTGTGGGGGGGGGGGGGGTATAAGCACTTGTAACTTAGGTAACTATATCGACGGTTATAAGCCTCGCAGGATTGCAAAACTCATACTTAAGGGGAAAATTGAAAGATATTGATGAATAACAACGACAATAACAAAAAAAGTATATAGAATGATTACAAAGACAAGGAACATGCATAATGAAGAAGAAAAATGTGTGTGTGTGTGTGGGGGGGGGGGGGGGGGGGGTATAAGTACTTATAACTTAGGTAATTATATCAACAGTTATAAGTCTCGCAAGACATGACAGCAAAATGAATAACGACTAAAAACCCATATGACATAACAAGCACGTACACGTTACGAGAGTTTAAGTCTGAATATCATCAACATGTATCATTGTTATCCAGAGTAGGTGACTTAATGTGGGACCCCACCTAAGAATCCAGGATTGAACATATCAAGCATGACCTGATAATTAATACCAGATATCAGACATTAATGAAAGTCGGATAAAGACGGACGGACATGAAGCAAAACTAGTGCTAGCCTAATCAGAAGCAAATCATAACAAGGCTAATAAAATCCCTTAAATCCATCACAATTACCAAAATAACATTATTAATAAAAAGCTCCTACCATGGTAAAACAAACCCCATAAAAAATAGCACTGATACAACATGACTTACCTTAAATATTTGTGTAAGGTTATAAAAGAAGAAGAAGATGCCAAATCAAGCAAGGAAAGATATTTACTCCAACTCATTTCTTATAGTAATACCATGACTCGATTGTTCTAACTTAGACATCGTAGAGTATTACTAGGAACTCTGCTGGTAATGCTCATTAACTCACTTATCTCTCTTTTTCATAGAAGTTAAATACTCTTTAGCAACATACATTCAAACAAACCCGACGGAAACAACGTTGTACATCCCAAAAGTTTAGGAGATAGGTTGTGTATGTGAATTTTCATATAAAAGGGTAATTTGGTACAAAATGACAAAAGTTTGTGAAATGTTCCGAACTGAACCAAAACCAAATCGGTTTGGAACCATAATCGAATTTGTAAAATTGTATATACCGAGAACCAGACCGCAAGAGTTGGGGCCGGTGCCGGTTTTTCGGTTAATTTTCATAATGGAACCAGTTTCATGATTTGCAACGAAAATATGTGTTTTTACAGTCTAATATGAACTACAATGTGACATCCCAGAAACTTCTACCTCGCACACTTAGTCAATTCAATCAAAGTTCAACGTGTTTTGTTGACTTCTTACACCGTTTGAGGGTTCGTTTAAGTGATTCTAAGCCTGAGTATGACCAGGGTTGAGATTAGGAATGAGTCAGCAAGACGTATACTGTCAAAATTGGGCCATACACACCCTTAGAGGGAGTGTACGGCCGTACACATGGGTGTGCGGCCGCACACACACCTCCTGGCAGCACACTCACCTCTAGACAGCATACTCACTCCTATATAAAGGGTATATCCCATTCCTTTCATCCCTTTAACACCTTGGCAGCACACAACCCCATTTCTCTCAAGCTTCTTCAACCACAAACCCTCCAAGGCTTCAAAAACGTGAGTAATCCATCCCTTAGCTTATTGTGATTAAAGAACCACTTGATCTAAGCCTTTATTCATCAAGTCCCATCATTTTCTTCATCTACTTGAAGGAGTGCGGCTGCACACCCCCTTGTGGTGGCCTCACACTCCTAAAATACCCTCCAAAGTGAGAGTTTGGCTTCCATATTCGAGATAGATAGGACCCCAGCCTTGTTGCACCTTGAAAAAGACATTTTGGACATCATCTTGTGGGGTGTACGACCGCACACACCTGTGTACGGCCGCACACACCCTAGTGTGCGACCACACACTCATCTTGGGACCACAAACACACTTCTAGGACCCCTAACTTGCACTACAATGGAGAATAGGCCTAGGACACTTCATGGATTGCAAGTATGGACCTTGAGACACCCCAAGAACACCTTTCATCATGAGTGTACGGCCGCACACCCCTTGGGCCGCACACCCATGGCCGCACACACCATAAAGGTGGCCATACACTCACCTCATGCAATCCTTTAAGGCTCTAACACTTGGTGCAAGTAGTCCCAAGTTCCTAGAGTGGTTCTCCATCACATTTAGTGGTGAAATACCTTCATTTGACTCCGTTATGTGTCATTGCATGTTAATTAGGATCAAATCGTGTTCAAGGCGTCTCTTGAACATCCAGCGTTTCGTGTCGATCCTTCATTCAAATCACCTGAGGTGAGTTCATACCCCTACGCTTTTCCGAGTTTTTTTTATGTTTTCAGGGGGGGGGGGGAATACAAGCAAAAGCATAAGGAATCTTGTGCTCAAATATATTATTTTGTTTAAGATAAATATATTTTCAAGTATACTTTGAACACGGAAAACGGTTTTACCAAATAGTTATGAAATCAAGTCACAGAAACAGTTTTCAGAACTAAGGCAATAAACTTATGAATCGTAAGGAAAATGTATCATTTTGTAAAGGATTTATGTTATTCACAAAAAGGGTTTTCAGTATTATTACTTGTAAATTTGTTAGCCTAGTTGGAGACAAGTCCTCGGTAACACTCACCACAGATAAACAGAGTGGAGGAATAGTACTCGTGACCAGAGTCTTTTGTAGGGAGAGCGTGACTGTTGTGTATAGATCTATATGGGACTGACAATCCCGCACCCCGCTGCTTGCTACAGTTGGACCGGCAGGTCTACGAGTGACAAAGTCATAAAGGATACCGGCCCCGATACGTGCCATATCCAGTCAGTTATGGTCATGACCCTCGCAACGTAGATAACACTGATTTACTTTGGTAATAATGAATCAAGTGAACTAATCTCAAAGTAATAACCGATTTAATTACTAGAGGGTGTTAATAATACCTTCAGAATTTAGTTCATCATGTTTTCTTTTATTTAGTTTTATTTATGTAATAAGGCTAATATACCCCACTGGGAGTAACCAGGGTTTTTAAAAAGAAAACTACGTTTATCAATATAAGTATGGCAGATACTTGTACACCTCAGTTCAGAATGGATAATCAATCATCAACTTTTTTGGGAAGATATCGGATTTTCCCGGGATAACACGACTTTTCAAAACAAATGATTAACATGTAACTCACAGATATTCACATTCATTCCACGACACCATGGATTGTACATAAACTGTATGAATCTGGAAGTCGTGGAAGGAACGGGTTTTCAAACACGCTTTTCATAAGCAAATATCGGATTTTCTTGAGGAACACTTTCAAAAGGATCAAAGAATATTTCTCCAAAACTAACCGCTTATGAACTCACCAGCTTTATGCTGACTTTCAAACTGCTTGTATTCTCAGGGAATTAGTAGACAGAAACCTTCAGGAGTTTGGAGAAGTCGAAGCGTTAGAGTCGTGTCTTTCTATTTTACTTTTGATATGATCAAAACTATGTACTAAACAATGTAAACCTTTTTCTATATGTATTCAATGTCTGGTTGTGTTTACTATGCTTGCTATGATACAAAAGTTGTGATACTACGCATGACGTCCTCCACCCCAAGACGTTTCCGCCGTCCCGGTTTTGGGGTGTGACAGATTGGTATCAGAGCCCTTGTTTATAGCGAACTAAGTATACCGAACCTTACATGGTATACAACTATAAATACTAAGGGGCCTAAGTGCTCTAAACTAAAAGTATACTTTAAAAAATATAAGTATTTTTATAAAAGTATACGAGTATACCTAGGTACCTGAACTCATGTCATAGGTAGAACAAAACAAAAGTATTTGGATGTTGGGACGTTGTGGCTAAAACTGGGTAGTTATGTAATCATGTCTAGGGTGAATATAGCCTGATCAACTATATTCAGTCGAGACATGACCAACATGTGCTTGGGAGTGGTTGTGGTGTTACAGCAAGCCTAAAACTTACCTAAATACCAGAAGAGTTCTAGAGCCAAACATAAAGATTAAAATACTATAGGAGTATTTTAGGATGCTATAACAACCAAACCTACAACTTACCCAAGAATCAATTATTCAAGAACCAATCATGTAGCTATAATACATTGGAAGCATTATTAGATTCGATGCCTATTAACTATTCCTTTACCATCACCTCACATAGATAGCATGGCTGAATTCCATCTTCCCGACGACCCGTACTTTCCCAACCAAGGAGATGGTGGATGGATCGAACCAGAGCCAGAAGGAAACCATGAAATCCCTTTTGACGATGGCTTTGCCGAATGTCACACCCCAAAACCGGAACGACGGAAACGTTCGGGGGTGGAGGACGTCATGTACAGTATCACAACAATTCAAAGTAGTAAACAAGCAACAACATCATCCATTGCATTAATAATATAATTTCATACAAGTGTGTTCTGTCAAGTTAAATAGACACCAAAAATATGTATCAAAATAAAAGATGAGTCTTAAACGAGCTCCATCTTCTCAAAACCTGGCACCGGTACCTGTTTACTGGTGACCTGAGAATACAAGTTATTTTGAAAGAGTTTATCAGCTTTAAAGCTGGTGAGATCATAAGTATATTAGTGTCTGTATTTGTATGAAAGCATTTGTAAGATGTTTGTAAGATGTTTGTATAAGTTTGTAAAAGTTTGAATTCCCCTAGAAAACCCTATGTTTCCTACTAAAAGTAGCCTTCTACCAAGGCATCTAGTGTCTGTGTGTGTGTCTCTTGTAAGAGTATGTATTTTCCCAAATCTGACTATCATTAACCAAAAATATAGTTTTTACATTACTGTTCATTGTGTGAATGTTCACAAAGTGAATGTAATGGGAAAATGAAATAGTACTGTAGTGTTGAATTA